TTTACACGTGCGGAAACATTTGCACTATTTGAAAGGGGTGTGTCAGTATCAGTGGAGGACCCGGGCCTTGCTGATGAGGCTAGCTGCACACGGGAGGAAGCTGTTTTTGTGGCGAGAGGTTTTGGTCCTGATGCCTCCTGCCAGAGGGGAGAGTCTGAAACAGACTGTGTCCAGGGTGGGAGGGGTCAGCTGCAATCTTTCCTGCTCGCCTCAGAGTGCTGGAGGCGTACAGGTCCTGAAGAGAAGGAAGATTGCAGCCAATCACCTTCTCTGCAGAGCGAATGATGCACTGCAGCCTGCCCTTGTCCCTGGCGGTATCAGCAGCGTACCAGATGGTGATGGAGGAGGTGAGGATGGACTCAGTGATGGCGGTGTAGAAGTGCACCATCATTTTCTTTGGCCGGCTGAACTTCTTCAGCTGCTGCAGGAAGTACATCCTCTGCTTAATGATTTGATTTAGTCTCATCACTTCCACCAGCCTTGTTTACAGAAGTAGCAGACAGCTGCAAAAATACTCGGATAAACCCCACAGTTAACATTTCACAGACAAGGTTAGCACTGAAGAAAGGGGAAAGAGTCAGATGTTTCCCCCAGGTATTGGTGTAGAGCAAATCAGACCTAAAAGAAGAGTGAATGTTGGAGGTACATTCATCAGGTGGACACAGGCACCACTCCAAAAAAGCCCATATCCAGGTGGCATCCCTGGGACTTTGTTGGTACCATTCTGTGTGAGTTAGCATTTTCGCCTGAAGTCTGTGTCAATTTGTGGGCGCTCTGGTTTCCTCCCAAACTCCAAAGACAGCACATTTGCATTGGTCATGGTGACAGATTCACCACTCAAAATCAGACAAAATAGACGAAAGCAACTCCTAATTTCTGGCCGATGTACAGGTAGAAAAAAGAAAAAGGCTCCAGCCCATGCATTTTGAACTGGTACAAAATGCAGCTCCTCTGCTTTAACAAATACTAAAAGACAAGCTCATGAAGATGTCTTATATTTGTTTAATTATTATTTTTTATATTTCTTGTTAGGGCTTTTATTTTAATTCCTTTTATTTCTGTGTTTCTGTATTTTAAAGCTGAGGTAGGCAATGTTGGAGAACTACCAGGAGACAACTACATTTTGAAAGTATCCAACCAAAGAAATCCCACCCCCTCCCTTCTTGCGTCCCTCCAAAGTAAGGCTGAACGATTTTGGAAAATAATCGAATTGAGATTTTTTTTTACCAATAATGCGATTGCAATTTAATATGCGATTAATTTTTAAGCTCTTTACCATCTGTATTATTCAAAATGGACAAGCAGTAAATCAGTATATACTATGACCAACACAATATTAGATCTAGAACTACACTTTTCTTTCTTTTGTTATGATGAATTAGGTAGAATTATTATTTTGAGCAGTGGTGGAGAAGATATATCAAATTATAATAATATGAGAAAGATAATTTGAGTCAAGTCATGGCATTAAGTAATATGATATAATATCATCAGGTCGGCCTACAGACCACAAGAAAAACTAAGTTCACCACAGTGTGTTATACAGTAAGCGCTCAATACAAAACCCACAGATCAACCACCAATTAACGCGTCCTTATCTCAGTTCTAATCTCCTAGGAGTCCATCTTTCTGTATCCTAGTAAGCAAACAAAAAATACTCAGTTTGAGGTTCAATTCAAAAGACAACGAAAATAAAACCAAGTGTTGCCTCTCGTGTTTAATAGACAAGCTTAGTAATTCGCTGACAACACCGGAGTCCCCCTCCTCCCCCGCAGCCTGCAATGCTGGTAAGCAGCGCACTGGCTGTAATCGGGCAGTAACTCTGGACAGACTGGGCCTCTTTCGGACATGTGAGTTTGGTTTGAAACACTATTACACAGATATTTCCTGAGCTGACTGGTGGCTGTGTGTATGACGTAGGCGCCGATTGCCACAATACGCTCACCTTACAACCATAGACTGTATATCACAATCAGAATCTGAAATACTTTATTGATCCCAGAAGGGAAATTCTTTTGTCACAATTGCACACTTGTCAAAGGTAGATAGATAAAGAGTATATACATATAAGAGTATAAATATAAAATATAAACACAAATATAAAGGAGTGTGGGTATGTACAATATTTACATTATTAAGAATTATTATGGTGAACCAAAAAGGACATGTGAATAAATAGCAGCAGAGAATATTGCACATTAATTATTAAACAGGTAATATTGGACAGAAAATAGATAATGAGGTCTAGTTTAATAACTGACTAAGTGTCAGACACTTAAAGGAAGGAGTTATAAAGTTTGATGGCCACAGGCAGGAATGACTTCCTGTGGTGCTCTGTGGTGCATTTTGGGGGAATGAGTCTTGCACTGAAAGTGCTCCTGTGTTTGAGCAGCACGTCATGGAGTGGGTGGGAGACATCGTCCAAGATGACATGTAGTTTGGACAGCATCCTCCTCTCTGACACCACCGACAGAGAGTCCAGCTCCACCCCCACAACGTCACTGGCCTTGCGGATCAGTTTGTTGAGTCTGTTAGGGTCCGCTACCCTCAGCCTGCTGCCCCAGCATGCAACAGCAAACAGGATAGCACTGGCCACCACAGACTCATAAAACATCCTCAGCATCGTCCTGCAGATGTTGAAGGACCTCAGCCTCCTCAGAAAATAGAGACGGCTTTGGCCCTTCCTGTAGAGGGCTTGAGTGTTCTTGGCCCAGTCCAGTTTATTGTCCATGTGCACTCACAGGTATTTGTAATCCTCCACAATGTCCACACTGTCACCACAGTGTCTTTATGTTGTGCATTTTTGCTTTCCGTCAAAGCCGCGGATGGCCCGATGATTTCACCCACCACCACCAAGTTACCCACGGGTGGCGGCTGCTACTTTCATTCCCTGTGTGACGCTAAAGTTTATGTAATCTCAGCTTCTGTCAAGCTTAAGTCCATTGTATAACAAGAAGGCAAAGTACAACGTAACTGGCAGACGAAGCAACAACTTTGTCGGCAGACTGCTTTCCACTTGGGTGTCATGTGAGCAGAGTGAAATCGCAGCCTTCGCGATTAGAAAATCTGGCTTTATTGCATCGAGATAATATCGCAAATGCAAATACTTGTTCAGCCCTACTCCAAAGCCACTCCTGCAGAACACATTTTCTTGAGTACACAGGCAGATTGCGTGCAGGTAGACCAGCCAGTCATTTAAGTCAGACAAATGAGATGATTGGCTGTGCTTAATACAATCCTGCCACAGCCATAGATACCAGATTGTTTTCATTTTTGTGTAAAAGAATTTGATTAATTAATTGCTGTGAGGATGTAAAGAGAATTTCAAAACATATAACAAAAAGTATTTTTGTATATGATTTGATTTTTTGCATCCGTATTTGTATTTTTGGGTTTGAAAAGCTTTGTAAAACTTTGAATGGATCCAGTGTTTGGAAGGTGCTGTATAAATAGACTTGCCTTGCCTGTCCTGCTGCCTTGCCTTCTGAAATCAATTATCTACCCTAGCTTTAATTGCCGGATTTTATTTGCCTCTGTCCTGAAATGTTTTAATCCTGGTTCAACCCTGTAAAGCACTTTCAAAAGTGCTGTATGGTGGGTTGATGGATGGATGTGAAACATGTCTTAGTGTTTTAGAAGTAATGTATTTTATGTTTGCAGTTTACAGTAAATAAAACACGTAGGTAGCTAGCACAGAAATAAAAACCAAATTTAATACACAGGACAACAATCAAAAACTCAACCATAAGCAATTGACAGTCAAAGGAAAGACCAAGTGATCTTTTGAAAGTAAACAACAACATCAGAGCAATGACTGCTTATACCTTCAATGGCACCTTTTAAGGTTCCATTGAGAAAACAAATCTTTCACTTCCTTTTTCCTATTTCCTCCTTAAACACACTAGAAAGTCTTTATTAGACACAGTCTCCTGTTCTACATCTCCCCAGTGTCCTGTCCCCCAAAACCATTTATTCTGTCTGGAGCTACTACTTTACAACTGTGCCTATAAATGCTCAGTTGAAGGTCACAACCCCTCGCAGGCCCCGACAGGCTCATCATCCTTTAGATAAACATGGAAAGAGAATATCCCACTTGGCTACTCACAGAGACAATGATGGAGTCAGACAGCATGTATGCGGATCACTCTCGCAGACACAAACTCACACTGAGCTGGCGGGGTTATGGAGATAAGGTGCGCTTTATTTAGCAACGTCAACACGATGGAGCCTAAATCGTGATGTCACTGTTGGCTCCACATAGAGCGAGAGCAGTCAAGTGCATGTGAAATGGGTGTACAGATTTGTTCAATAGCTTGTTTTGCCTCTTAACACAACACATCTAAAGCTTACAGATACAATGCAACGGTAAATCACAGTATTAAAAAGTTGTCTGTGCGTTGAGAGTTTTAAGCTGTAGCTGTCAAAATGTGTGCTGTATGATTTGAAGAAGTTTGTCATGTGGAATAAATTACCGAGCAAATGGACTGTGATGTTGATAAAGGCTTAATGAGCGTCTGTTAACAATGTGTCTTTTAGAGACACAAAAAGCGACTTAACTTTTGTCATTTCTTTTTTCCCTTTTTGCCTGGCTGCTATCCATTTTTGTTTTGCTTTTAATGTTGGCAGACTAGGACACTTATGCTATTGTTGCACTCAGTCGCTCCGGCTAAGAGTGTCAGCTGAATGCCTGAAATGCAAAATGTAAATGCAGGGGGATGAATTTTCACTCAACAGGGTTGTTACTCTTTTATGCTGATTTGGAAAGCGTTCTTACTCGAAGACATTTACTTGACATTCATTTGTATTTTGCTTGCATATCTCGTCGGCACAGTATAGTGCCTATGCATATGGAGAGCTCATCATCTTTGCCTCTGGGGTGGATTGTCGGGAATGCTGTCACTGTGCGGGCCTGGTTCTTGCTCACTGATTATTTTTGTGATACCTTATTAATGATGACTTGTGTCTTATCCCCAGTTTCTCTCTCTCTCTTTCTGCTTCAGGATCTGAAGAAGGTGCTGTCTTTCCCCCCATACCCTGGGGAGTTTCTGCACCCGGTCGTGTATGCCTGCACAGCGGTCATGTTGCTCTGCCTCTTCGCCTCCATCATTACGTACATAGTGCACCACAGGTGAGAAGAAAGCACCACCTTGACTCTGTTTTAAGTGTACATTTAAAACTTAAAGCCTCTCCAGCCTGTCGCACCTTAATTTTTAAATCATAGCCCTTAACTTCATTTCTACATATGGACACTCGGGCGGAACCTTACCTTATGTAATGTCTTAATTTCTCACCTTTTGTCCTTCATGGGTTAGAGTTTGTTTTTGAGTCCTCTGTCATAGATCCCGAGCTGACTGTGAAGTGAGTCAGACGCTTTAGGCTGGCGTAAAGCACTGCAGCCTGTCTTACTAAGAGGATATAAAACAGAAACAGGTGTGTGTGTGTGCGTGTGCGTGTGGTGTGTGTGTGCGTGGGCGTGTGGTGTGTGTGCGTGTATGTGTCATAGCAGAAATGTATGCTTCTGTGGATTCCTAAGGGCTACTTTGGCCACCTTTTGTGCCTTTTTTCCATATGGAGATAAGGACAGAGAATGCACCGTGTGGCTCTCATGCTTTTGCACTGTGGTATCTGTCTGCTCTTATTAGGTTCATTTGCAGTGGATGCTGTTATTAAAGCAAGGGAGAGCCTGAATGGCATCTTATTTCAGCACGCCAATTCATCATCTGTTGATCTTGAAGAGCATCAGTCACTTTATCATGTCCGTGGCATTAATGTGGTATTATTGTAATAGCTCTCCATCCATTTTAATATAAAGGAAAAATTTCATTTCAAAATATATGTTTTATTCTTAGAAAAACACAGTTAACTGACATTTTCTCAGACAGAAATATTTGTTATTATTTATGCTTTCCACTCCTTACTGTGACTAAAGCGCAAAATTATTAAACTGTGTGAACGCTCTGCAGCATTTGCGGTTTGCATCCATCTCTGTCACCTGGGACAGAGACAGGGTGCGTCCTTCTGCAGTCAGACAGTGATGACAGCATCTGGGGCTCCAAACAGCAGCATCACATACTCGTCTTGCACTGCAGTATTGACTAAAGAAATTGAAATCTGCTATACAGGGAGGACCAATTTCCCAGTTGCAGGAGATTGAGATTTTTGATTCAAGTGAAACATAAACAAACACCACTGGATATTCTGCTGCTGTGCACAGAAGTAGTGGCTTTAAAATCTTAATTGTAGGTCATTTTGAAATTCTGTCTAATATTATTAGTGGAACTAACTGCAAATTATACACAGTCATGATTCATAGGGTGTAAAGACATTAATAGGAATGATGTGAAGAAGAGTGCTTACAAGATGCTGTTTCAACAGGTATTTTATTAGACTTTCAATCATATTTCAGAACTTGCTCTCCATTACAAGTTATTATATTGGAATCAGAAAGGTGCATGACCATGCAATGATGCTCTCTAGCAGTTTAGTCATATGTATAAATATTACTTTCAGAGCAGACATAGTGAGCACGTTTACATGCACATGCTAGCATCCTAGTTTTGACTCTTGGTTTGGATCATATTAAGGATATGATGTTTGTGTATAACAGTTTCCAGGTTTCTGATCATCCATCTGCAGGTGTGTCATCATCCCTGCACATCTCTGTTTTTTTTGTACTAAGTGAGTTACCTCCACTGTTGCGAATCAACTGTTTATTTTTTGGTTCTTTGAATTCTTCTTTATTTACCACATTGGATTTATTTTCTTCATTTCATTACCAGTAATGAAAAATAAGAGCAAGAAAACCTATGATCAGCATTACTGAAGTCAGACTCTCCTTGTATCTCAGCATGTTGGTCATCATTGCATCATTTACCTTCTTTTTTTAAATGAACTGACTAACTACTCCATAACTTGAGTTGACACACTTGTGAGAATGGCAGAGAATGATCAGAAACGTGGAAAAGGTGTTTACATGCAACAGTATCCAGATTTATATCGGAAAGATCCAGCTGGCACATTCAGGTTTCTCAAAGATCCAGGTTATCTGCTTATAAAAAAACATATTGTAACTAAGACACATGTACACATGTAAAGTTCACACAAAACAACAAACTCATATTTTAGATATGAAGCCAGAACTTTTGTGTTGTCTGTCACACACAAGGGAGGGTTACAGGGTTTTTCTTTCAATGGCGCTCACATTAACAAACACCTCCTCATCCTCCACACTTCCCCTAGGCACTCCCCAGCACTAAAACACATCTCTGTTTAGTAACACTTGAGTTGTGTAGTATCACTCCAGCTGACTGACAGTATCCAAGCCGTGAAGCGCCGGGACCGTGTGTTAAATGGGCAGAATGCGAGGGAGGCCGTTCAAGGATAGACACAGTAGATCGTGCCTGTTTCTCACTTTAGCTCACTAGCGCATACACACATGCATAAAGCATGTGCTTTTGGTTCTATCTCTGCCAGCAAGATAGGCCAAGATACATCAGCCAAAGCATGATGGAAATCTTGGTGGATATTTTGTGAAATTACTTGTAATTGATACCATAAGAAGGGGCAAAACAATAAGAATATGTGGATAGTATTTTACACATTTTGCGACAGGAACAGTGTTGGGCAAGTTACTGAGAAATTGTAAACAATTAATAGTTACTTATTACTCCTTAAAAAGTTACATTACTTTACTTATTTCTGTGTGATAAAAGTAACTTGTTAAGTTACTTGTTACGTTACTATATTACTTCCCAGTGTTTCCTACCCCCCTTCACCCCCAAAGCAGTCTCCCGACTTTTTAACTAATAAAAACCTTTTGAAAGCTTTTTGCTGGTCACACAGAGTTTACAACAGACAACAATGTTCTTTCCATCTTAGACTGTGACACAATAATGGCAGTAGCTACTTACAGCTGTAGAAAGAACGCCTCTCTCCCTCATTCTCCAGTCTTCCTTTAGTTTTTGGCTATCAGCGGACATGAACAACAGAAGTTCCAGTGCCGCCGACCTGCCGCACAGTCTCGCATTCACGTCAAGGATGATGCGTTCAGTAACGCAGTAACGCAGCGTTACTTGGATTAGTAACTGTAATAATATTACTTTATATTACTAGTTACTGGGAAAAGTAACAATATTATAGTAACGAGTTACTGCCCAACACTGGACAAGAATACATAAGCCTGTAATTAAAGAGAGCAAAAACATCGCAGGGTTTATGGCTACCAACCTTTTTATATACAGTCCATGCTACCAACATGTGTGCATGACATAACAACATGAGAACCCCAAAAGAGGTCACATAAAGCTGGTCAGAGATAATATCAGTTAACTTGTTATATTATAAATATTGTTTAATTCTAAGAATTAAACAATATTTATTGAAAATGAGACAACCTCATCATGTTGTTACAATGTTCTGTTACAATATGTTTTAATCCAAATTGATAGTTTACAAGCAACAAAATAAAATACTTAAAGCTGCTCTTATCAATATTTTTCTATTAAATGGTAACTTTTGTACTTCGGCAATTGCGGCACCTCAAAGTGCTTGTTTTTGCCACTGAAAAGCTCAGGTTGTTATTAGGAGTGCCTGACAATATTGTGGAAAGGATCCTTTATATACTTTTAAAGAGTAAGATACTTTTGTTTTACCAGACATAGTCACAATATTGCTCTTATCAAAGCAACCAGATTCCATTGATAAAAACTGAACAGAAGTAGACTGGAGAGATTGACGGGAGTGATATAGCAACAAGGATTTTACTCTGTCTGTGTCTCACCGTATATCTCTGTAGGGATCCTTTCCATAACAGTCAACTGTCCCACTGCTGCATTTGGCAGCAGTGGGACAGTTGACTGTTAGATGCATGTTGGAAAATAGGGTTGAAAAATACCAAAGTTATCCTTTAACAATGGCTCAGCTGATGTGTAATCTAAAAGGGGTCACTCATACTGACAAATTCACATTACTGCCTGCAACTTTACTGTTGTGGTTCTGTCTTAACACTCTCATCTGCATCACTTCCAGCCCCAGCATGCAGCATTTTTCTCTGAAAAAGCGTGAATAAATTCACTGTACACTACTTGCCAAGCACCAGACATCAGACAGATGAGGTTAGCGACTTGCTAGTGAACATAGTAAAGCAATTAGCAGCTAAAGAGACAGATTTCCCTCGGGAGTTGGTGGAGACCAATACAGCGCTAAACAGTTCAGAGTATTTTTCAATTACCTTTGTGAGCTGGATGCAACGCAATTTCGTTCTACTGTGCGTGTGTTTTAAATAACAATAAAGTTATCTTGAACATAGTGGACTTGGATGGATAAATGGAAATAAATTCCCCACACATTATAAGTTGATAACATGGCATTCTTGTGTTTACGGATTGTTGCCAGTGACCCCAAAATCGTTTTTTGTGTGAGTTTTCTTTTGTCTTATGTAAATACGGTGGAACACACTGCACTGGTATTTGGAATATTTTAAAATTGTGGAATTTATTTCAACCATATAGCCCAGCCCTGTATTCTTAGGTTGCTCCTCTTTGTCTTCCTTTTCTCCATATAACAGCACAGCTTCCTATGTTTTATGGAACCCATCAGCAAGTTTAGAATGTCTTCCACCAATGAAATGGCTTTGCTAAAACTACCCGTTGTATAATGTGTCATATTATACTGTCCATAGCTTTATTGTCCCTTACATTTGGCTCAGCATTGGGTGCAGGGTGAGAGAGCACATGCAGAGAGAGGACAGTTTTATCCCCCCTACCCTCTGGGAGATGGGGATGTGGAGGGCTGCCAGGTTAATGTACTTGACCCAATGAAAGCCCAAAGCAGAGCCTATGAAAACCCCCTTCCAGGGAGGCCAGGAGCTGGCCTGATTTATGGCCTCTTTGCTGGATGGAGTTCAGTTCTTGGACCGCACCAGAGGCATCGACAACAGAAGCTTTAACTCTCCCTCCCCTTACACAGAGCAGTGAAGCCCGGCCCCAGACACGCCTCATAGCTCACTGCTGAGCCACTGCTTCATCTACAGTTGGCTCACGTGCAGCCGGGGCTCCGTTTCTCCATTTTGGGGAGTGGAGATTTCCAGCACAGGGTTATATAATTTCAAATGGTGACAGTGACTGTATGGATGAAAAGGAGGGAGCTGACACAGAAATGTGATTTAAGAGAATAGATGGTTTGTTAATTCACACAGTAGAACAAATATGTTAGTATTGTCTGACCTATTTAGCCTATGTTCTAAGAGCTGGATGGAACTGGTAATGTGGGTTAAGTGCCCTGTCCAAGGCTGTGTAACCCCCTGGCTGATGCCATATTTCACAAAGTGGATTTGAGTGCATAGATTTACATTGTGAAAACTTCAATTGGGCCAGCCAACTGGAAGTAATCGCTTTTTATTTCATCGTCAAACCAGCAGAGTGATTCCTATTTGTGTGCATGTACCACTGCATGTAGTGTAAGTGGGTGAAAGAGCTGTGTAGTAAGGCTGTACACTGAATAACACACTGAGTTCTTACTAAGAATCTGTGAGTAGCCCTTTGCCTGAGGTCCGTCATTCTAAAATAAACATTATACTGTTTGGTTGAAGTGTACCATTTTGTCAACTGAGGATTTAAATTATTCTTTTTTATGCTCTTTCACTGTGCATGCGTAGGGTTTGACCTTTTGGACAGGTGCATATCTTTTTTCTCAATTCATTTCATTCAACATTCTTGTTGCAACCTAAAATTAGTAGTTTTAGTTTAGAGTTTATATTGCGGTGTCCCAAGGCAGGCAAACCTCCCAGCATGCACCTGGGCCACAGACTCATGGGTATAAGTGTAATTCGATGTGTGTTCCTGCATGGTTACAGTGTCTTCTACAATGTTTGTACTGTTTTATTATGTTTTAATACAGTTAGTTACTGAGTGTAGTTATCTGTGGATGTGGTTAGACCATGTGTGATGACATGGTACACAAAGCTTGCTAAGCATTGTGTGGTGAAAATACAAAATTGTACTATTTGATGTACAATTTAAAAACAACCAGCTTTACAGTTTTTAAGAATAGTTCTGCTGAACGATTTGCCTCAAGGGCAGATATTTCATGTCACTGTTGGTGGGGACAATACAAACATCTCCCAACAGGAGATTTTGAAAAGAGGTCTGAAAAAGGTAAGCAGTGGACCAAACCACTGTGAGGCATATGGCGAGGGAGGACATATTCTTTCGAAACTTAAAAAACGCATTAGAGTTATAATAGAGAACAAGAGTTGACCATGTGTGCACCTAATACCTTGACTAGATGCTGACGGACAATAGTGCTTATATTTAATTGGACATTGGTAGGGACATGTCCCTGAAGTCCCTACTAAATTTTACACCCTTGATTTGCCTTAACATAAAACAATCAGTTAGTTTAGAATCAAAACTTTAGATGAATAGAATGATGTTGACTTAACTTGAAAGTATTTAATGTGAATCTTTACTTTTTTAAGTTGAGCCAAGGTAAAAATGTTTTCAGTGTTATTTAAAAATATTCGATTCAGTACATGTATTGGCAGTGCATTATGTAATGGCTTGTTTGCACTACTCAAACTCTTTGAGCAGCATTCCCCAGGCTCGCCTGGCGTTGTTAATCTATCTGGCAGTAGCAAGGTAAAAGAAAAGGGCAATTTATGCAGGCCTTGTAAAAGACAGGCTTAAATCATTCTTGAAATGACTGATGGACAATGCACCTTGAAAACTGAATTTCAATGAGATTTTACTTTATGATAAATCACAGAACACTGTGGGGTATGGTATGTACCTGCTAATTTTTTTCGTTCTTGGTCTTTTTTTGGCAGCGCAATCCGCATCAGTCGGAAGGGATGGCATATGCTTCTCAACTTCTGTTTCCACACGGCTCTGACCTTTGCTGTGTTTGCCGGTGGCATCAATCGAATCAAATACCCCATCATCTGTCAAGCAGTAAGTGCATTCCCTTTTCTTTCATACTCTCAAAGCTTTTCAGAAAATTGATTATGAATGTCTATTCACATGTTGGCAACCAGGGCCCTGAGTGCAGTATGTGGACATATAGTAACCCAGCTTTATGTGTTCTTCATGCTTCAGCTGCTCGTATGGCCTGGTCACTCTTTCAGTAAAGTGTTGGCACAATGAGCCCGACGATTCAGGCTTTCCCATCACGAATGTACTCACTGTCTGTCTCTCTATTGTCCGTCCGTGTCCACTTTTGTTGCCCAGGGTTAGTGGTGGGCGTCAAATTAAAAAAATCTATTTTGTGGACGTTTTGGAAAGTGCCAGAATATAACATTTTCTGGACATTGGAATTCCATACAAATGTGTTTTTCCATGGAACTTACCATTTCACTGTTCATTACAGTATCACAGGCATTGTGACATTTTTATTTGGAACACTTTGAGATTAAACAGAAACAAAAGCCTTTCAGTGGTCACGCTCATGCACATGTTTTGTCTGGAGGTGGTCATCAAAGGGTTGTGCTGTTCCCAAAAGCCTTAAGCTTGCAGATAAGTGCTCAGTGAGTTTTCCTCACCTCTATGGAAGTCAGTCTGTCGTTTGGTTGCTTGGTCTAAATTATCTCAGCAGCTATCGAATGGATTTTCATAACATTCATCGTCAACTGAACTTCCCTTTAGGGCCACCGACATGTCAAGGTTTTCACTCAACATCTACTAGAAGGATTTGGTACACATATTTGTGTTTCCCAGAGGATGTATCCTAAGTTTGACCAACAGCATCCCTGAAACCATAGTCACTCGCTCTCACTCCTGCCCGCATGCACACAGTGCGAGAGGAGAGGTAGAGGTGCTGGCTGCGATTACTCTGGGGAATAAATAAGCCTACAATATGATAGACTTTTGTATGTTTCTCACTTTCCCCCGATGGTTGAAATAACTCATTTGTCGCTAGTCGCTTTTTAGAAATAAAGTTGCTGAGGGTCTGAAAAAGGTAGGCAGCAGACCAAACTACTGTGAGGCATATGAGGGGGAGGACATAATCTTTCAAATTTAAAAAAACGGTGGACTCATTTTAGAGAACAAGATCTTTTAACCGTTTGTGTACCAAAAACATCCACTTGACACTGACGGACAACAGTGGTTATATTTAAATTTTTGGATCAAAATTACTGCTGGGGACAATTCAATAGTCACTGGATGTTAATGGGGACATGTCCCTACTAAATTCTACACCCTTGTTGTCTCAGGATATAATGTTAATGATCACCTGAGTTTTTATTTAGAACTAGTCAAAAATTATACTTTTCCATCATGGTACTAAATACTTTGACGCTAGAGCCTCTATGTGGCGACAAACTCGTCTACATCTTGTCTGCAATGTTCATTCTGTCGTCTTTGACTTGGCTGAAGATCCGGTTTTCTTTCACTTCCATCAAGCTTCATCTCTCTGTGTACAAAAAGTTTTTAAATTTGCAACAATTACAAAATAGTCCACCTTTGTGTCCCTGAGCAAGACACTTAACCCCTAGTTCCTCCTGAGGCGTGCAACCTCTAACATGTATAGCAATTGTAAGTCGCTTTGGATAAAAGCGTCAGCTAAATAAATAAATGTAAATGTATGTAGTGGCACACCACAACACCATCTACTCCTGCCTAAGATGATGGATACAAGACCTTCTGACCCTTTGAAATCAGTGTGTGGTCACATGGGTGGTGCGTCCGTCTCTGCAGCCCACAGTTATGAATGAGTGTTGTGTGGGAGATTTGGGATGTCAGGTAGATTTGGAAGCAGGTTAAAGAAATGCTTCCCTGCCTGCTGGCACCTCACTGTGTTACGTTGTTTTACAGCAAGAATGGAGGTGTAAGAAGGAACTTGAAAAAACAACGACATTCTTGTTATACTGGCCATGGTATTAATTGGATTATATTGTTGATGGAAATTTCTTAACCATTTTGAAGTGACAGATAAGAGATGGCACATATGTTTGAGGTAGCTGAGATAGTCTGTGTCAAAAAGAGAGAAAGTAAGAATAAACAAGATTTTTTTTTTTTACTTTTTCACATGGTTGGAAAGCTATATGGATTTCTATTCCAGTTGATTGATAGCAGTACCTGTTCAGGTTGTGAGCATGAAACCTCAGCTGAAGCAGAGCATCCTCTACTGTCAGCTCACCACAGTAGGGGGGGCATTTACTGTATGTAGCCACAAAGAGATTGATGTGCTCCTCTTTTCTACTTTTCACTCACAGTTTCAACTGCCTTCACTCACACCCTGTTGTATCTATTGGCCTCGTTCGCTCCCTTCTAGAGCGTTTGGGACTCAACTGCCTCTTCTGCTGTCACAAGCACTTTAGGTGGCCCCTTATTCCACAGCGTAAAGACTCCACCTCTACATGCTGAAGTGCAGAGCGTCATATTTCATGTAAGCTAGCTTTGCCTGAGCTGCCTAGCAGGAAACTCTGCAACAAAGTCTGCAAGGAGTCACCACTCGTGTCACAGCTGTCAAGTTTTTCTCCACAACTGCAACTGACACAAAAAGACTGGTGTTTGTCATAAAATGCAGCTTTCTTCACTCACTTGCTCCCTGCTGTTTAACATCACATTAATAACATTACCTTGTCTAGTAGCAATTCTTCACTCAGCTGACTGGGGTTCATATTTTATATACTCTAAACACTAACAGAAAAATATAGCCACACCAATATGTACATTTGGTACTGACACTGTAAATCATCACCATTTCCAAATGAGGTATACTTTGTTAAGGGCTAATAGGTTGTAGCTAGAGCCTGACCATTAATTTAGCTGTCCAAAAATAACAGCTGATATTAAAGATGGCATTGGCTTATATGTACGTAAGTAACAAGAAGTTGCAGCAACGAAATGCCAAATATGTGCGCATCCAAAACCAAATTGACGCGATGTTCTTAATATAAAAAAAACTTCTTAAACTATCAATCATCAATATTGGTACTGGCCTCAAAATTCCAGGATCTTTTGGACTGTTGGCCTTAAATTCAGAAAACACGGTTTTATGCTTTGTAGTAGGTAGAAAAGCTGATGTCTTAAAGCAAAATACAAGAAAGTGCAATGGAAATAGACTTTGTGAATAAATCATGACACAGGTGAAGCATGTGACTTAAACAACCAGCTTCCACTTACTACTGAAGAGGAACATGACAGAAAAAGTTTGAGAACCACTGGTTTATTGTCACCTTACTGGAGAATTAGCGCCACCAGCTGTTTATCATGATGCCCCCAATTTATAATGGTAGTGCATGGAAAATCACACTAATTTGCATTTACTAAATTTGGATGGAAACCAGGATGTCAGCGCTTACGTAGCATTATATATTCCAGAGTTAAACCAAAAACATGGGCAATGTATAGTTAAATCAAAAATGGATGGGGCTTTGGCAATATAGAACTATATAACACGTCCTCATACCTAAACGACATAGGTTGATAATAATGATTGTCAATTGTCCCAAAACAACATATATAACCGGTGGAAAGTATGAAGTAAAGAACTTACTAACATTTAGAACTGAAGTTGATGGCTAATCATAAATTGAATAAATCATTAATAAAGGGTAATACATTTTTAAATAAGCCATCAGAGACCTTGCAATCCTTAGGTGTGATTGTGAGTGGTGGTTTGTTTATGTGTGGCCCTGCGCTGGACTGGCCAGTCCAGGGTGTACCCCGCGTTTCGCCCGATGTCAGCTGGGGTCGGCCCCCCATGACCCTGTACACAGGATAAGCGGTTGACTATGAGTGAGTGAGTGAGACCTGCAGTTATAAATGTTGCCACTACAATTATCCAACAAAAAACAGTTGTACATTTTCATCAGTTGTTAATCGGTGGGTTTTGGTTCAGATATTATTTTTTAATGGTAATAGTAAATGGTTGAACTTTTGAGTTCATTTAAGTTCTGATAAATTGAAGAGCCAGTTATAAGGACCATCCAAAAGGATTTTTCACAACATGGCAACCCAAACGTTGTTCTTTTTAACTGCATACTACTATGATCTATAAAGTATTGAAACATGATTTATTATCAATAAATAAATCCTTCTGTCACAACTTCTAAAACCTTCATCACATCTATGCCTTATCAGGGAAGTGGTACTTTTACACCTTCCTTCCATCAGTGTCCATGCAGGTGAAGGAGTAGGTTTCGTTTCCTGGGGGTCCACTAAGAAAAATGTCTTCTTTATTAATATAAATAGAAAACACAACATTCAGGCAGCAGCAATGCAAAATTCAATGTAATTGAATAAAATGCACTTTTCTCATTTAATATCATCCCTGCTGAGTCAACACACATGTAGGCACAATTTAGTCTTACCTTGTTTGTGTCTTTTGTTTGGGGAAATAACTATTTACAAGGCTAAATAACTGTAGACTGCCAGGAAATACTAAAACATGCACGTATGACTCAAAGCAACCTGTTCTATTATGACTTTTCTCATAAAACTATTATTTTTTATTTATTACGCAGTTTTAGTTGACACACATCAGTTGCACATCTGCCTTTTGGTTTATGTTTTTGTTTTTCTCACTAATTTGCGTCCGTTAACCATTTGTGACCCAAATACATTGACTAGAAAGTGGTTATATTAAAATTTTTTTAATCAAAATAATATTGCTAGAGACGATTCAGTAGTCATTGGATATTGGTAGGGACACGTCCCCACAGTCTCTACCTAATTCTGGGCCCCGCTCTTGCTCTTTAACTTATTTAGCATTTATTCCTAGGATATAAATTTATCCCAGGGCCTTTGAATGCTTCCTGCTGCTCCTCCTTTACCCAATCACTGCTAACAGGACAACTCGCTGCAGATTTGGGCAGGAGCCCAGATTGTCTGCAGTTCCACTGGGACTGAGGCAGGCCCCACCAGACACAATTTGGGATAATTACAGGACTGCTTGAGGAGATGTGTGATCACACGACGCACACAGACACATACACTCATTCAAATGC